TCTTTTACTTAGCATGATGCATTCAGTGTTGCAGTATGTATCTGTACTTCATTTCTTTTTATGGCCAAATAATTTTCCATTGTATGAACAAAACATATTTTGTTTATTCATTCATCAGTTGAGGGATACTGTGTTGCTTCCACTTTGTGGCTATTACCAATAATGTTGCCATGGATATTCACATTAATTAAGACAGGTCAAAGGAGACAGTGTAGCATAAGACGAGGAGAGGAAGCTAACAAGCCTTGCAGAAGACCAATAATTAAGTTTCAGGTATATAGCATGGCGTTTAGACAAGCATATATTTTTTAATAAGTATGTCTCATGCAGTACCTGCAGTATTTAATTTTTTATATTAAAAATCATTCACACCCTGGCTGGCATAGCTCAGTGGATTGAGCGCGGGCTGGGAACCAAAGTGTCCCAGGTTCGATTCTCAGCCAGGGTACATTCCTGGGTTGCAGGCCATAACCCCCAGTAACCGCACACTGATGTCTGTCTATCTGTCTCTGTCTCTCTCTCTCTCTCCCCCTCCCTCCCCCCTCCCTCCCTCCCTTCCATCTCTAAAAAATAAATAAATAAAATCTTTAAAAAAAATCATTCACTATTTATCTGAAATTCAAAATAACTACGAGTCCTATATTTTTATATGCTAAATCTGACAATTCTAGATAAATGTACTATGATTAGGGAAAAATGTTAATATTAGGAAAAGCTGAGTGAAGGATACACAGGAATTCTTTGTGGTATCTTTGTCAACTCTTCTAAAATTATTTCAAAATAAAAAACTACATTAAAAAATTAAGTTTATAAAATATCTTTAATGGCATGAGAAAATATTATGTGAAGAAAGCAGGAAACAGAGTTTTATATTCACTATAATATCATCTATGTGTATATTCTTTAATGAAATTTATCCTTAATGGGTAAAAAATACTAAAAGGAAGCATGTAAAATATTAACAGTAGTTATCAATGAATCATTATATTCTAGATTGTTTTATTTCTTTCTTTATACTTTTTGGGTCTTTGTACATTTTGGATCCAACTTTTTTATACATGTAATAATTTCTTAAAAATTTAAGCAGTAAGCCTGGCTGGCATAGCTCAGTGGATTGAGCACAGGCTGCGAACCAAAGCATCGCAGGTTCGATTCCCAGTCAGGGCAGGTACCTGGGTTGCAGGCCACAGCCCCTAGCAACCACACATTGATGTTTCTCTCTCTCTTTCTCCCTCTCTACCCTCTCTAAAAATAAATTTAAAAAATATTTTTAAAAAAATTTAAGCAGTAAATGCAAACTTCATTTGTGAATTTATGTTAACAGAAAGAAAAAAGGGGGAAATGAATGTATCACATAAAATAAACATTGTCCTAAGCCCTACTTACAACATCCATAATTTCATTTCTAAAATTAGGTAGATTTACAGAATAAACTCTTGGAGACTGTAATACATACACTGGCAGCTTCTGTTTTCTGAATGGAAAGGAGTAAGTCGGAGATAGAAAAAACTATTGTCCTCAGCAAGAGTACCAAGTTGCAGATCTCATAATGTCCTTCTCTGTCTACTCACTTCTGAGACACCATAGCAACTGGAAACCTCAAAGAAGGAGCTTTGAGAATAGAGTTGGAAGAGCTGTTGGGGGGAGAAAGCTCAAGGAGGCTAAATGAGAAATGCTAAAAAAGTCAAAACATAAGAACACTCTTATAGGCCAACCAATGAGTAAAGCCAAAATATAAACTCAAAACTAGAGTAAGTTTTATTATTTATTTCCCCTGTTAAAAATGGAAAGAGATGAGCCAAAAGACAGAATGGGGAAATAAAATTTTCTGCCTTCTCAATAATGGTTATTTTTGTGGGCAAAAAAAGGGTTCTACAAAGAGTAACCTCTCTGAGTGATCTGATCATAAATCCTAACTGGGCAGGTCATGGTGGGGTGGTCATGTCCCAGGCACACAACGCTTTAGTAAAAGGTCCACCTTTGCCGTAAGCAAGCCCTACCCATTGTTGGTGTATCTAGGTTAACACACCTTTGAAATACATGCAATCACCCTCAAGAAAGCACATATTCTTGTTAAGAATCTTTTAATCCAATCCTCCTCAACCACCACTTCCTCCCACCTTCATGTAATCCTTCTTACTTCCCTCCTTAATTTTAAATGCATTTTTTAAAAACCCTATGAATGGAACTGTCATTCATTGGAGCATTTCAGATATTGCTTCCTGGCAACTGTTGCCAGTTTTGGTTCAAATAAACTCATAAAAGTCCTCTACAGGCATGGACATTTCTAATGTTAACATTTGAATTATAACATTGACAGAATGTTTGCTGTAATCAAAACCTTTTCAAATCTAAACTTCCAAGTTTTAAGCTCTAATTTGTAAAAGACTTAAAGAGGTTTTCCAGTCCAAAATGTTTACCTCACAAAAGGACTCCTCCCTAATAAATAACAACATACACTAATACGGCACATTTTACTTTTCCAAAGGCTTTTGCAGTTATTATTTAAGTTTACCTCCATCACTAGATTTAAATGAAACAACTTCAAAATCAGGAGTTTAAAGTGAGACACTAAAAAGGAAAGAGAATCCTTGTTCCTTTCCAGGTCAAACACAAACACAGACAGTTAACACTAAAAAGCTCTATCCTTTATAGTTTTTTATCAAATCATGTCACTACTCTTGTCTCCTTAACTTCCCTCTTGACCCAATGGGAGCAGAAGCTGAAAGCCACTCCCACATTCTCTCTGAATCTCACCTCATCACCATTATTTCCTATGGATGAAGGTCTTATATGGTTTTTTTTATAACCATGAATTTTAGGATATATCAAAAAAAGTATTTTTCTTTATAGACCAGAAAGGAGCTAGGAAGAGCTCACCTTCAAGGAGCTCTTTCTGAATGAACTTAATCACTGTCTCCTTCCAAAGCAGCAACTACTTGTCTTAAACCCCAGCAACAGAAAAGCTTATATTTATGTATATACAAATAACAGCAATTACAGATTGTTTTCAAATGAAGTCATTACCCAAACATGCTTGCTAAGCATAAAATGTTGGCCACTTGACATTAAAAGTATATATTTTAAGAATTTTAAGAAACTGAGATAAAGTTTCAAATACTACAACAGGAATTATAGGATTAAAAAGGGGTTAAAGAAATCATATAACTTAAGAGGTAAAATACCCAACTGTGTAATTAATGTGATTCCAAATGGACCTCAACCAGGAATTCAGCATACTAGCTGACAAAACTGATTACAATCTTTGATTGACAAGGTGGGGTGATCTGGATTTAGAATGCATTGTAAGTATGCAGAACAATCTGACCTCAAGTGGCATCCCACAAGGAGCAGAGAAAATGTCAATATCCATAAAACTAAATGGCTTTATTATATGCCATGAAATCATACATTAGTTATAAAAATTAACATGCCCACACTCATTCTTAAATGGTCTTTCTTTTCAAATGTTCAATTGAATATTAATAATAAAGTTCAGAAATGTATCAACCTAGCTGATAAATCAACCCCTAGCTAATCTTATCTACAAATAAAAAGCACAGTTGTATATTGCCACAAGCTATAACTTTCTTGGACTGTTATTTTTCAAATGTTTGGGTCATAAAGTGTAGAAAATGATTCATCCAGTCTTTCATTGGTACGCTAGAAAATATGTAATGCAAGTCATCTCCATTTTTGGAAAAACCTATTTTCTATTCCAGCCTATCCATCATTCCCACAGAATTCTCATTTAGCACCTAAAACCAAGCCCTCAACTCGAGAGGCCAGCTCTCATCCTACACTGTGGCAATGACTTCACTTGGTTTTAGGTAACCTCCAGTTAACATCTCTTAGGAATGTACCTGTCCCTTTAATCTATTTCATCTGTGAAGGATTAGGCTATTTCCTCAGGAAGCTAAACTGGTCTCTACTTAATTTTGGATTAAAAGAGTGAAAAGGAATATCTGAACTAATACACTCATTTTTTTAGATGAGGAAAATGGGCCCAAAGAGATACCACAAATTGGTGTGGTCACACACCTAATTGGTGGCAGATGTCAGAAGAGTTCTCTCCAGTATCAGATAAACTTGACTCAATTTAAATTATCCCCAAGAACACGATATTCACAAGTGACTTGATTTATGAAATGGATCAATGAAGAAACTTTGTTCTGTTTCGAAACATTAGCTGAGAAGTGAGTGGGAATTGGCACTGTCTCCTTCCCAGGTTGCTGACCACACTTCAATCCATAGCTCCTCCACGCACTATGAGCATGATTTTGCAACAGTAGGGCCTGCAAACAAATTCTCAGGCGTGCATAGCACTGACAACACAGTCTTTGCAATAAGAGCCATCAACTTTGAGAATGAATTGGCAATAACTAGGCAACTAAAAACTGCCTTGTAATAATATCATTACCTGGCCCTGGCCAGGGTGGTTCAGTGGGTTGAGCACTGGTCTGTGTTACTATTTACTGACGTTCTCAATTACATATAGAGAATTGGATTTCTAGAGAAAAAGGAAAATTCTTATTTACACAACCCCTTGGTTCCTACCACAGCTCTTTATTGACTACTGGCCCTGCCAGAAATAAAATATAACTTTCTGACATAATGAAGCATTTGGAAAAAAGAGTACTACAAATTTGCCCACCCTTGCAAAAGTCCTATTGATCATCAAGATAGTTACAATGATCGTAGTCAAAGTGGGAAAGAAACTGAAATTCCTCAATCTAACTTTATTCTCTAGATCTCAGTAAAAGACCTAGTATATAGAAAGAAGCACAAAAGTTGAGAGAACATTTAGGGAAAGATACTTTCAAAAACTGTACTCCAGACAAAATACATCATTTTCTACTTACTCATCAAAGCTTTACGACCAGTGACAAAGGAAAAAAATGAAACAATCTTCCCTAAAATTATTCTTGCTCTTTTCAGAACAAATTCAGTGAAACCAATATAACAGATTACATAAGCAAAACATTAAACTTCTCTCTCACCTCACATGTAAGGCCAAGCCATCCTGTAGGCCAGAGATTCCCACATCAGAGAGTGTGTCTGAGCTGACAGAAGCTGGTGACAAAGAACCTTCCTTCTCCTCCAGGAGGTCCAGCTTCACCAGGTTGCTGATCTCATCCTCTGAGTTATCTTCAGACACAGAACCAATTATGAATCGGGAGTGCTGGTTTAGCTCCAAAGGTTTGGCCAAGTGGGATGGTTCATCCATTATTTCTTCAAAATGAGCTCTCAGAGCTATGGAGAAAATGAAGAGAGAAAGAGCAGGTTACGGATAATAACCTATGTCTGAGGATAGCCACAGGTTATACCTACTACATCATAGCTTGTACTTGGAAGCAAGGTAGAGTTTGAGAATTCGTTTCCTTGGCTATCCTATTTCAGGGCCTTTGTTTTTCACAAAGGAGGGAAATTCAGATTGTGGTAACTCCACCTAAAAAATTAAATATCATTTCCTTTTCCTCAAAGAAATCTTGCTAAGAAACTTGAAGCCACTCCTAATCTCTTTACCAATTTGGTGATGTTCAAAAGATAATTAGAAACCTTTCTAGTAGGTCAAAGCTGCTTGCTTTGATATTGTAACTTCAGTTATTAGTATTGGCGAGAATGTGGTAAGAGTTTGGGAAGAGTGGTGCTCATTAAAAACTTGGTGTTTACAGTAAATTACATAACTAACATCTGGCTCCAAATACTGTACTGTGAGAGGCTATAAATTTTATATAAGCACATTTATGTATAGATATATACATAAAATAATTATTATGTATAAGTATACATATACCATAAGATATACTATACACGCACACATGGTTTACTTTAAAGCAAACTCCAGATGGGTATTTTTTAATAAAAAAAAAAGTTTCCTTTTCCCCATGAAATTTTTCTTAAATATGTAAATCACCCCAAAAATGTCTGCTTTTGGCTCTAATGTGCTGACACAAATAGGAAGAAAGTGAATCTACTATTAAATTAAAATCTATAAATCTATTCTGTCATTCCAAAATTCCTACAAAAAAATTTTAAAACTATACCTCAACTGACTATTAAACAGCTTGTGGCCTAACCAACAACTTTAATTAAGAAAGTAATGATTTCCAGTCTTTATTTTCAGGTGCTCTAAGATTTGATATATCAACACATGATAAGAAATTTATGAATAAATTTCATATGCTGTAAACCAGTTTGAGGTATAAAAGAGCAATGTTCTTTGACATCAAGATTTTGGAAAAAATGTTTAGGAATTACCATTAAACATGTTAAAATTACACATTACCCATTATTTTTATGTCCTGTAATTTGTGAATCAGAGATGCTTCTTTTTTTTTTTTTAAAGATTTCATTTACTTATTTTAGACAGAGGGGAAGGGACAGAGAAAGAACGAGAGAAACATTAATGCATGGTTGCTTCTCACACTACCCTTACTGGGTACATGATCTGGCCTGCAACCTAGGCATGTGCCCTGACTGGGAATTGAACCGACAACCCTTTGGTTTGTAGGCCAGCACTCAATCCACTGAGCCACACCAGTCAGGACTTTTCCTTTTTTTAAGATTTTATTTATTTACTTTTAGAGAGGGGGGAAGGAAGGGAGAAAGAGACAGAGAGAAACATCAATGTGCGAGATACACTAATGGATTGCTTTTCACACACCCCTAACTGGGGACCTGGACCCCAACCCAGGCATGTACCCTGACCAGGAATTGAACAGGCAAACCTTTTGGTTTGCAGGCTGGTGCTCAATCTACTGAGCCACACCAGCCAGGGCAGGGCTTATTCATTTATAAGGATAAAACAGTATTTGTAATGCTAGAACATTGGTTCTCAAAATGTGGTTCCCTAGACCCAGAGCAATATTACCTAGAAATCCAATAAAACTATAAATTCTTGGACCCTACCACAGATCAACTAACTATCAGCATCTACAGGATGGGGCCCAGTAACCTACACTTTACCAAGTCCTACAGAAGTTTGAGAATCATTGTGCTGGAAAAATGAAGTAGAAATAACAAATTTCCAAGAATGCTAAAAAATACCTACTGACATTTCTTAAAAGTGAGTTCCCCTGGCCAGGTAGCTCAGTTGGTTAGAGTGTCGTCCTGATATACCAAGGTTGGGAGTTTGATCCCCAGTCAGAGCACATGTAAGAATTAACCAATAGATGCATAAATAAGTAGAAGAACAAAGCAATGTTTTGTTTTCTCTCCTTCCTTCCTCACTCTTTAAATCAATATTTTTAAAAAGTGAATTGGAGATTACTTAAGCTAACTCTTATGCTTAAAACTAAAATCAAATATAAAAATATCATGCAAACTTGACATCTAAATTTTCTACACATTTCTCCCTTGGAAAACTAGGTTTCCTTAAAAAACAAAAAAATTTCAATGTATCCAAATTTTATAAAGAGGTTCACTTCCACAACCATTAATAAAACTACATCATTTAAAAAGAGGGGGGCGGGGAAAGAAAGGACAGTAAAAAGGGAGAGAAGGAGGAAGCAAAGGAGGGAGGAGTTCTAACAGACTGACCACTCCAAACACCAGAAGGTGCAGCAGCAAAAAGGCTACTTCTTTCACATTTTAGAGCAGTGCATAATCAAGTTTAAGAATAACACATCCATAAAAGTTCATTTCAGCTAATGGAAAATAACGGCTGCCTTCTTCACAAGAGAAATAAGTAAGGTACTCAGGGCCACATTCTACTTTATAGTCTGACCAAACTTAGGTGACTAGTAAAATATAAAATTCATGAGGAAGAAGCATTTCTCTGATTCCATGGGAGAAGAAAAAGAAAGGACTGACTAATAAATGAAAGGCTCCAAAAGGTCAACTTCAAACTTTTCTTTCCTAGCTAAGAAGAACGTGAAGGCAGCCTTCCCTCTAGGGTTGGAAAGAATGGAAGCAGCTCAGTGTCAACATCTAAAGAGCCTGTCTACTAACCAGCAACTCTGCTGAATAGTATTCCCAGGCACACAAGCCTATAAACCACCAGAAAAGAGAGGTCACGTATGGAAAATCACTGAGTAGCTGTCCAGACACTCTAGAAGCTACTCCACAGCTTGTCCCACTTCCTCTGATTCTAGTCCTGAATTAAAGAGAAAAGGTGGTGGAATACTACCACTGTCAGACTCATTCACTCAAGTCATCCCCCCCAAACCTGCCTATATTCTTTTGTGGAAGGCAACTTTTAACGTAAAAGCCTACAGTTTAGTATTTTAGTACATGAACATAAATTTTATCACACTGAAAACATGAAGAAGAATTATTTGTAACTGACCTCTTATGATTCTTACTGTCTGAGCAGATATCCACTTCCAAAAAGAACTAAAAAGAGAAAGGGAGAGAGATTTTAAGTATTTTTTTTAAGATACTCAAATTTGATCAACAACTGTTTTGCTCAGCATAATACAAAACTAATAATGCTCAAAGTATGATTTTTCTGGTCAAATCTATTATGTTCAACTATTATTTTTTCAAATCTGTAAATCAAAAACATTGCACATTCAAAGACTTTATTTATGAAAGTATTAAACAATAATCCAAGATTATGATATCCAGTTGCATACTTGGATGAACACATTCTAACCCTATGACTCCCAATAGTTCCACAAAAAGGAGGCAGTGGGGAGAAGAAAACCACTAGATTCTGTACAACTCAGGCAGGCAATGATTATGTTTCCAAATGGCTATACCCATCCACAAAGCCAGGGAGAGACAGATCTCCCATTATATCAAGTCCCTAAACTCTAAGGAACCAAGGAGTCTTTAGCTACTTCCCAAATCCTGGGTTTCCTTCTAGGCCCAGCAATTTAAATGTATCCAGGGTAGAAATTCTCAGCTTTGAGTATTTATAACAATAACCTGTGAAGCTTTTTAAAAACATATATAGTAGGTCTAAACTCCACCCCAGATCTACTAAATCACAATTGCTGCTGGAAACCCAGAGATGTGAGTATTAAGTTCCACAGCGGACTGACATAGTTCCCCTAGTCTAGAGTGGAGAAGAAAACAAGGAAAGAACTTACTATGCAGACAGCAAAATTCAGAACTTTTAAGAGAAGACCCTGAGTGAAAGTGACTAGATTGGGAACAGTGCAGGTATATCAATTGGAAAATTAAGATTTATACAATTATGTATTTTGAGCTAATATTATCCCCCACAACCGTCATAGAGAAGGTGCAGGTAGTGGGGGGAGAGAAAATAAAGGAAAAAGGAAGCACAGTTGATCCTTGAATGCCACAGATTTTTTTTGTTTTTAATTTTTATTGAATTTATTGGGGTGACACTGGTTAATAAAATTATATAGGTTCCAGGTGTACAATTCTATAATATATCATCTGTATATTGTATTGTGTTCAATACCCAAAGTCAAGTCTCCTTCCATCACCAATTATCCCGTTTACCTTCTTCTACCTCCCCTCACCCCCTTTCCCTCTGGTAATCACTACACCTGTTGTCTATGAAGGGTATTTTTTTTGCTTACTCCCTTTACCTTTTTCACCTAGACTATCAATCCCCCTCCCCTCTGACAGTTGTCAGTCTGTTCTCTATATCTATGATTTTATTTCTATTTTGTATGTTCATTAGATTCCAAATGAGTAAAATTATATGGTATTTGTCTTTCTGACTGATTTATTTCACTTAGCATTAATCTCTCCAGGTACATCCATGCTGTTGCAAAAGGTAGTATTTCCTTCCTTTTTATTTCCAAGTAGTATTCAATTGTGTAAATGTACCAAAGCTTTTTTATCCACACATATACTGATGGACACTTGGGGCAGCTTCCAAATCTTGGCTATCGTAAAAAAACACTTAAGTGAACATGCAGGTGCATATATTCTTTCAAATCAGTGTTTTGGGTTTCTTCAGATATAGTCCCAGAAGTGGAACTGCTTGGTCATAGGCAGTTACATTTTTAATTTTTTGAAGAAACTCCATACTGTTTCCATTGCAGCTACACAAATCTGCATTCCCACCAACAGTAAATGAGGATTTGCTTTTCTCCACATCCTCGCCAACACTTTTTTGTTGATTTGATAATAGCCATTCTGACAGGTGTGAAGTGCTATCACATTGTGGTTTTAATTTGTAGCTCTCTGATGATTAGTGATGTTGAGCATCTCTGCATATGTCTATTGGCCATCTGTAAATCCTCTCTGGAGAAGTGTCTATCTAGGTCCTTTGCCCATTTTTTAATTGAATTGTTGTGGGTTTTTTGGTGTTGAGTTGTGTAAGTTCCTTACAGATTTTAGATAAAACCCCTTATCGGGTGTATCACTGGCAAGTATGTTCTCCCATTCATGTTGTTGATGGTTTTCTTTGCTCTGCAAAAACTTTTTAGTTTGATGTAGTCCTATTTGTTTATTTTTCCTTTTTATTTCCCATGCCCGAGGGACTGTATAAGAAAAAACATTCCTATGAGATTTTACTGTCTGTGTTTTCTTCCAGGAATTTTTTGTTATTTATTTATTTTTACTGTTATTCAATTACACTTGTCCCAATTTTTCCCCCATTGCTCTCCTCTGCCCCACCCACCCCCTTATAGTTTCAAGTCTAACATTTAAGTCTTCAACTCATTTTGAGTTTATTCTTGTGTATGGTGAAAGAAGGTGGTCTAGTTTCATTTTTTTATACGTACCTGTCCAATTTTCCAAAGCCATTTACTGAATGGACTATCTTTACCCCATTGTATTGTATGTTCTTACCTCCTTTGTCAAATTAATTGACCATAAAGGTGTGGGTTTATTTCTGGGCTCTCTAATCTGTTCCACTGATCTATATGTCTGCTTTCATGCCAGCACCACACTGTTTTGATTACTATGGACTCCAACTTTGTTATTCTTTCTCAAAATTACCATGGCTTTTCAGGGACTTTTGTGGTTCCCTATAAATTTTTAGAATAGTTGTTCTAGCCATGTGAAATACATCATTGGTATCTTTTCTTTTAGATTTTATTTATTTATTTTGAGAGAGAGAGGAAGGTAGGGAGAGAGAAAAGGAGTGAAACATCAACGTGTGTTGCCTTTAGTGCACGCCTTACTGGGTACCTGGCCCGCAACCCAGGCATGTGCCCTGACTGGGAATCAAACCAGCAATGCTTTGGGTTCACAGGCCCATACTCAATCCACTGAGCTACACCAGCCAGGGCTCACCCTTGGTATCTTGATAGGAATTGTGTTAAATCTACAGATTGCTTTGGGTAGTATAGACATTTTATTTTTTTTTAAATCCTCACCCCAGGATATGCTTATTGATTTCAGAGAGACAGGAAGGAGGAGGAAAGAAGGGAGAAAGAGAGAGCGGGAGAGATGAAAGAGAAACATCAATTGGTTGCCTCCCACATGTACCCCAACTGGGGATCAAACCCTCAACCTTTTTGTTGTATGAGACAGTGCTCCAACCAACAGAGCTACCTGACCAGGGCAGTATAGACATTTTAATGATGTTAATTTTCCCTCTACATGAATAAACATGGTATATGCTTCCACTTATTTGAACCTTCTTCAATTTCTTCGGTATCTTATAATTTTCTGAGTACAGGTCTTCTACTTCCTTCATTAAATTTATTCCAAGGTATTTTTTAATGTAATTATAAATGGCATTGTTTGTTTAGTTTCCCGTTCTAATAGTTCATTATTAGTGTATAAAAGTGTAACTGATTTCTGGATATTTATTTTGTATCCTGCTACTTTACTGAATTCACTTATCAGTTCTATCATTTTTTTAGTGGAATCTTTAGGGTTCTCTATATTATCATGTCATCTGCAAATAATGACAGTCTTACTTCTTTCTTTCCAATTTGGATGCCTTTTATTTCTTCTTTTTGTCTGAGTGCTATGGCTAGGACTTCTAGTACTATGTTGAATAAGAATTGTAAAAGCGAACATTCCTGTCTAGTTCCTAATCTTAAGAAAAATGCTTTTAGTTTTTGCCCATGAACACCATGTATTTAAATGACACAGGTCCACCCATGTGCAGATATTTTTTTCAGTGAATACAATAAATGTATTTTCTCTACCTTACTTTATTATAAAAACATATAAATATGTGTTGACTGGTTATGTCATTGGTAACTTCTAGTCAACAGTAAGCCATCAGTAGTTAAGTTTTGGGGAGGTCAAATGGTATACATGGATTTGACTGCACAGGAGGTCAATAGCCCTAACTCCCACACTGTTCAAGAGTCAACAGTAATTTGAATCAGATGTACCCAAAGGTGCAACAGAGCTGAGGTCAAAGTCTAAGACCCAAAACCAAACTCTGACTCAAACTCTATACTGGCAATATAACCTTGGACAAGTTTCTGAGCCTCCTCATCTGTGAAAACAAAGGGAAGATCATGTGCACCTCATAAGACTGCTGTGAGCACGAAGAGTATATATACAAAAGGGCTTGGTAAACTATGATGCGCTAGATGAGTGTTTTTCAAATTATGGGTTACCACCAGGCACAGTAGTAAGAAAACAGTTTACTGGGTTCCAACCACCATTTTAAAACTGAAATATAATAGAGAATGTTAAGAGTACCCATGCTTTATAAGGATAAATATTGTTTTGTAAACATTTTTATCGGTAACATACATACAACGACACCAACATCTTATTGTGAGTTGTGTCAATCCTCACTCTCCTGTCCACTTCACTTTATGCCCTCACCAGAGAGCAAGTACAGAGAATTAACTACCTAAACCAGTGGTTCATAAACTTTCTTAGGTCAAAGCACTATACATAAATCTGATAAAAGCTATGGACCCTTTAATGACAAAAGCTTCCCCTCACACAAAATTTTGTTTGCATATGAGTAAGAGATCCCTAAAGCCTTGCCATGAATTAGTTAAGACCTCTCTCTCTAGAAAAAGGACAAAAAATGGAGTTGACCTTTGGGGAAGGCTCCTATAGCTGCTGTCTTATCACCTCCAAAACAAAGATTTATGAGAAATACTAGATCTGAATGGTTTTAAGAGTTTGAGATCATTTCCTTCAACAGCCAACTGGATATTTTCTGGCTTGGTTTTGTTTTTTAAAGATTTTATTTATATATTTTAGAGAAGGGAGGGAGGAAGAGAGGGAGAGAAACATCAATGTGTGGTTGCCCCTCACACGCCCCCTACCTATGAGCAGGCCTGCAACCCAGGCACATGCCCTAGACTGGGAATCGAACCCGCAACACTTTGGTTCACAGGCGGGCACTCAATCCACTAAGCCACACCAGACAGGGCTGTCCTTGTTTTTGTTTGTTTGTCAGAGAAAATAAGATAGTATAATCATCTGTCCTATTCCTAATTTCTCAGCCTAGGGATAAGAATACATCCCAAGGATGAAGC